GGGGGTGCGGGGTGGGCTCCAGGAGAGGGGGGAGGAGGAGAGGCGCGCGCCTTTCCGATGCTGTGCCGCGCTGACTGCTGCTGACTAACTGACTTGACTTGGCAGCACGGCACGGCTGACTTTACAGCCGCTCCGCTCCGCGCGCCACTCGGCTACCGGACCCGCGAACCGGACGACGACGAGGACGAGGACAAGACCGGCTCCTCCTTGGCCGACGCTGCGCGGCTTGCGCGGGCGCGGCCGTGCAGTAGGCGACCGAGGAGCGAGAACCCAGGAGCGCGAGCGGAGCGGGGGAGTGAGAGGTGGGGGGGGGGGGCAAGGAAAGGAAAGGAGGGGAGGGAGAGTGGGAGAAACGCCGATAGGAGCTAAGCACGGAGCTAGGTGTGAGGCAAGGTGGTGTGGGCCGCACAAGTATTCCGGCAAGCTTAGTGAGGGATCAGCAGCGTCTGGGCCGGCGGCGCGGGCGCCCTGGTCGCCGAGGGATCGTTCCGCCCTGCCCTGCCCCTCCCCGCCCGCCCCGCCCCGCTACTCCACGCACGGCTAATGAATGCAACCGCCGCTCGACTCCCCTTCACCTGGCGGGGCGGGGAGAGCCCGGCGCGAACCCTTCACCCGTCGTCCGCGAACCGGAAGTGCCGGAAGTAATGCGCTATGGGCGGCAGGGCCTGTATAAGTTAAGAATTAAACGTAAGAAAAAGTGTTCAAAGCCCCGCTTCCAATGTTCCACTCACGTGTCGCAGTTTTGTTTCTGTCGCTCGACGTCGTGGCTGGTGTGCTGAGCTGGGTCGCCTGGGTCGCGTCGACACACACGAGGATTCGGTTGCCGTCTGGCGTCTTGCGACACCTCGTCACTTACAACAGTACATACACCTCGCCCCCTCCGCGCCCTTCCCCTCCCTCGCAGCTTGCCTTTCGCCTTTATAGCCAACCCTTTCTGCACCACCCTCCCCTCCGCGACCACCACCCCCTTCCTCTGCTGTCCTGTGGGGCTGGCCCTCCTCACGATGTGTTTGTGTGCATCGAAATGTTCCTCCCTCCTCCCCCTCCCCCGCCCGCTCTCCTTCACCCAACCCCTGCCCCCACTCATCCGCCTCCGGAGCTCTTTCCCCTTTACCTCCTCCCTTTGCTTCTCACGTCGATAACAGAGATGGCGTCGCACCGTCCGCGGAGACGGTTGGCGGGAACTGATTGTTACGTATTCACTGGATCAATTTCTCCCTCTCCTCCTGGAGCTTTTGGGGCCCGAAGGCCCCACAGGACCCCCCTCCGCCCCTTTGTTCGTCCTGGTGCCGTGCTAGGCCGCGCTCCCCCCCCCCCTGTCGGCCTACAGTATGGGCGATAAGCCACAAACCCTCCCCCTCCGACCTCCAGCCATATTTTAATTTAACCGCAAAAGTTTTAATCGCCCCCAAGCAAAGATTGACTTTCAGTTGAAGGAATAGGCGGTGCCCTATGCTGAGTAACGCTTTCTTTCCTGCCAAAATTCGTCACAATTTCCCTCGTCAAAAGCGTAGTACAGTAATAAAGTTTTGGCTCAGTCCCATGCATCCTTCAGAGTCTCTGGTCTGAAAGGCCGCCAAAATACCAGGCGGAGCAGCGCGGCCGCAGAGGGCGGTTGAAGGGAAAGGGGAGGGGGGGGGGGTCTGGGGGGTCTGGGGGCGGCGCCCTGCCTGCAGCAGAGGAGAGCGGTGCCAAGCGCCCCCCTCCCCCCATCTCGAGTTGTTGACTCAGAGTTAAGCCCCTCTGCAGTCACACCCGGACCTACACGGACCCACCGCAACCAGCCGGCCCTTGCTGAGGATGCGCAGCCCTCGCAGCCCGGCCTGGCTCCCTGTTGGTCCCTCCCCCCCTTCCTCCAACCCCCCCGCAAGCAGCAACGCAACGTTCGAAAATATTCGCCGAGTGTTTCGCACGCAGCCCCCCGGCCCTCCAGTGGTGTTGGTTGTACTGTATCACCGTGACCACAAGCACGCAGGACTGCGGCAGGGCCACCTAAGCCGAGCAAAACGTCGCCGTGGAGCTGACAACCTGCCGCTGCACGCACGCACGCCAGCGCGCCGAGAAGGAAGACACCCGTGAGAACCGCAGGCGCCAGCCCCAGGTCCCTCGGACAGTTCATTCAATGGGCTCATAGGAGCACCCCACTTCAGCACACTCCTGAACGATTAAAAGATGTGCACCTCGCCGTGCGTGCAGCCCCACCGTGCAGATTGGCCACCTGCAATCGAATTTGTTTGCGTAGGGTCGTAAGCACGCTCTCTCAAGAAGATTTTTAATCAGCACATCCCATGGTCCATTGATGCGCCAGTGAGGCTGCTGTGCTCACTCGCCTCTCCCGATCTTGTAATCGTGACCATAACATCCTCCACGACGATCAGGTTTCACGTACCTCGTCGAGTACCTGCTCGTGGTCTCCGGGAGCCGGGTGCTACCGCCCGCCCCCTCGGATCGCTGTGCTCCGGCAGCTGCTCTGCTGTTGCTGTTGTTGTTGTTGTGGTCCGCGCGGCTCGCACGGCACAGCGAGGTGCGCGGCGGATGTGCGGGCGAGCGGCGGCGCGCAAGGTGGCGGTGCCAGCGGAGCCAGCCCGAGGGTCGCGTCGTGACTGAGCGCGGCCCGGCCCTGCCCTGGCGGCCCTGCCCTGGCCACAGGAGGGTGGCTTGCTTGGCTGCGGCACGGCGCGGCGCGGAGGCGGGGAGAGGCGTCCTGCCACCCCCACCCCCAACCCCCACCCCGCCGACGCAGCCCCGTTGGGGCAGAGTGACGGGTCCGCGCAGGCGCCGGCCCCGCCGCCACCCACCCCCGCGGCCCGCGCGGCCCCAGCTCGTGCACCCCCGCGTGTAGGCGCGCGCCTGCTGCTGTAGGCGCCCTCGCTGTAGGCGCGTGCACCTACCTCTCTCCCCCATCCTCACCCCCGCCCACTGCTCCTCCATGTCCACGAGTGTTCGATACCACCGCCGCGGGCCGACGCGACGCGCGCCCCGTCGTGCAACGCTCGCCTGCGACCAAAATTCAGGTACCGAGTCTCGTGCGACTGCAGAACACACAGAAAACGAGCGAAACTAAGGACAGAAAAGTTCTTGTCGCGCCAAACTAGATGGGAGGGGGAGGGGGGTCAATTCCAGAGGCTTTTGATGAGCCTCGCGCGCTTGGACTTCCCTGTCATCAGCGGTACAGAAACCTTGCTGGTTCCACGGTTCCTTGCCGGGTGAAGGCACAGCAGCCAAAGGCACCCAGAAAGACCCGCGTTGTCGCGGCTGGTTGCGGCTGAACGCAATGACCCGTCAGAGAAGCGTCTCCGAGGAGAGCGCGCCTGGGGGCTGGGCGGCGTCCGCGGGGGCGTCCCGCCCGCGGGGGTGGAACCAAACCCCGTCCCCGCACCAGTCCGTGGGAGGCAAGGCAAGCGCGTGGGCGGGGGAGGGGGTGGGGGTACGTGACGTCACATATCGACCTGGGCAGCCTACGGGGAGGAGGACCGGTAGAAGGCGAAGCGGCGCGCTGAAGTAGGTTACGCACGCGCGCGCACGCGCCACCCTCGGGTGCACGTGCACGGGCGCACGGAGGCGGCACAGCCTTCGGGGGCATAAACATATGGCGAATCTGGGTTATAGTGTAGGGCGGGGCGGACCAGTCGGAGTGACTGCTTTTCCAAAATCAACCCATTACGCGGGTCTGGGTGACCCTACTCATACTACCGTCCAATGTTTATTAGGCGTGCGGTCGATAATTGAGCTCATTTACCAATGCGCAAAAGTACTAAGGACAATCTGGCAGCCGTCTAGAAATTACCGAACCTACACGGCTTGGCTCAGTGTCGGATGTAAAGGTTGTAGTCAGGGAAATGCCCGAACGAAAAGAAAAGTGGAGGTGCGGGGTATCGATCCCCGTACTTCTCGCATGCTAAGCGAGCGCTCTACCATCTGAGCTACACCCCCTGTTAGGAACATGGCCCGCCAGAACACAATAAGAATGCCAGGCGCAGGCGCGTTCTCCCATCTCGTACGCTCTTGCTCTTCGGTTCGTTGTTGGTTGGAGAAGGCAGTGGAGTCGTCTGACCCAAAATGGCGGTTGTTGTTGTTCTGGCTGTGTCGATATAAACAAGTTCTTCGGCTTTGATTGAAGGCAAGAAGTTTGCGATTTGTTCAGAATGACGACAGGAAACGACGGCTCGTTTTCCATCTCTGGTCTCGGCAGTTCTTTTGCAAACCGTCAGCGAGATTTGTTCGCATGCCTGGACGCTGCGGACAAGGAGCGAGAGAGCAGCGGCGGCCCTAGGCTGCCCGCCCTACCTGTCGAGGATGAAATGGACCGAATGGACGATGATAGAGACAACCAGCTTGAACGGTGTTCAGGAAGGAGACGAAAAGCCCCGACCAAACAGTTTAGGGGCAAGGAGAGCATCTTCAAAAGGCCAGAAATGCCTGCCCCAAGGAGGGCAAGACACAGCGTTGCAGATCACCAACGGAACCCTCACAAATATACCAAGTATAGTCTTGGAGACGTATCCCCTCAGGATATGTCAGATCGCACCAACACTGCCGCAGCACTTTCCTTTTTGCAAGAGCTCAGAGCAAGGAAAGAGAACAAGGAAGATATGGATCTTGACGAGTCACCCAAACATATCATTTTCAAGTCCGCAAGGCCCAAAGCAGAGAGGAGAACTTCCAGTTTGGGTGCTGTGAGCACAATAACAACTGCTGCTAGTTCAGAGGAAGCTGATCAGCCATCCTTTAGGAGCAGTAAACTGGTCATGCCAGAATATGTTGTGGGTCAAAAGAAGTCCTCAAAAAAGAAAAGTCTTTCCTCTGATACCAGTTCTCAGTCAGAGGACAAGGACCCCGCAAAGAAGAGCAAAACAAGAGAGATTACGTTAGGCCATCTTATGGATGAAGAAGATGAATGAATGTTGATTAAATTACTGCTAGCACTAGCATTATGTTCCTTAAATTCTGATGTTAAAACAGAACCTTAAGGCATGAGATTTTTATTACTGTAGGAATCATGTCGTTTAAGAGGCTGTGATCTACTTGTCTTTGTATATAAATGGAATACTGTAAATAAAACGGCAGTTTCTTTCAATTTTACTTTCTTAAATGCCTTTCTTGGAAAGTTATCCTTGATTCAGGAGACAGTAAATGAGTCAATGCATATTTATTCAACAATTAATTTACAAATTCAAAAATATGTACACAAAAATATAATTGATATGGAACAAAATAGTCCTAACATAACAGAGGTAAACAAAGTTTATGGTTTCTTAAGAACATTATTTAAAAAAATAAAAATTGTAAAATACAGGAAAAAAAATGCATAAAATTTGAAATTGTTTGTACAGATGTAAGGTTTCAGGTTTCAAAAGTACAAACAAGATTAAATGCACCCCATTCTGCGCACATTAATTAGCGAGGGCACATTGCATGCCGCCCACCGTCAACAGGAAGGCTGGCTCCAGTAATGAAACTTGCTTCAGGGCTTGCTAAAAATGCAATTGTTGCAGCAACTTCTTCAGGTTGCCCAGGTCGACCCAAAGCATGAGTTTCTTTGGATCGCTCTAGAAACTTAGCATAAGCCTCAGCATCCAAGCCACCCCTTTTCTGCAATTCAGTTACAACTACTCCAGGGTTTACACAGTTAACTCTAACACCTTTTGGTGCAAGCTCCAGGGCAGTGCATCGAGTGAACTGATCAATAGCAGACTTAGACATACAGTACGCCAACACACCTGAAAATGCTCGGATACCATTAACGCTAGAGACATTGACAATGTTTCCTTTTGTCTTCACCAGGTGTGGGACAGCAAGCATTGACAGGTGGTATACAGAGCGTACATTTGTATTGAACATCTGGTCATATTGTGCCAAGCTAGTATTTTCGATGCTCCCAACCCCAATAATTCCTGCGTTGTTCACCAACACGTCCAGTTGGTTAAAGTGTGCAATCGTCGAGTCCAGGATGTTCTTGGTGTCTGCTTCACTCGTCAACTCCCCAGTGACAAGAAGGGGCTTGATCGAGTTGCCGGTTGCCTCACACTTGGCTGCCACCTCCTGGAGATTCTGTTTGTTGCGGCCGGTAAGAGCCAAACTGGCTCCGAGCCGGGCCATGTGTATGGCAGTGGCCGCCCCGATACCGGAGCTGGCACCCGTGATCAACACTACTTTTCCTACGAAGCTCATAATGAATTTTGAGCAGTCACCTTGAGGAGTCAGCTGAGACTGGGTGCCCGAAAAGGTTATGTTATGGTTGGCTGATAAGATAACTTGCAAGTGTACAACAAACCGGGGGGGGGGGGGGGGCAGAGGGGAGGCTCGAGGCTCGGTGGGGGGTGGGACGGGAAGCTTTTCTTTCTCCCTCGAAATCAATCAGAAATGCTGTCCGGTAAATTGTTCAAAATCATCAGATTAGTACACGAATGAACATCAATGTTCTTGCAAAATTCCAATAGACAATGCTGACAATTTGTTATAATAGAAATCGAAAGCCGCGCTTCCGTGATACTGTGTCCTACTTCCGGCCGTCTTCCGGAAGTAAACAGCATAGCCACACTCGCAGAGCCAAACTCATCAAAACGAGTCAACTCTTAGAATTTTAATTTTCAAAAAAATGAACTTAATATGTCCTCATGGAATTTTCACCCATCTCCAGATATTGTTAATTTTTCTCATTCTGTTTTTTACGTTGAAAAATTTTCTCACCCTCAGACGATTGTTCTCTGCTGGAGCTTGTAGCAGAAGAACGATGACAAGTGGGGTATCAGAGCAAGATGGCGTCTAGTGTATGCCACGGAACTTTGTAATCTTCACCAAATGATCAGGATTTGATACCGATTCGCCGGGCCGTCCTTGGTTTGGCGTTAAATTAGACATCTCCATTCATCCAGGTAATTTTAGACCTTGTGGTCGATTGCATACCCCCTAATTAAACAGCAGAAATGTGTGTTTATGTATGTGCAGCTTGCAGACGAGAATCATCGTAATCAAATCAATACGCGATTGAAGCGCATTACATAAACTTTAACGGGTATTACGTCCATTTTTTGCGTTTATTTTTTATTTTACTGTCGAAGCACTTTTGACTCATTCTAAGGGTACGAGGAATGTAAGTGCGATGAATGAGCGGACTGTTTGATTCATTTCATTTTGCCCACTCTGATGTGAGGGAGATGGGCGACTGGCGTCATCTGCTGCAACTGCAGTCCGCTCACAATCCCGACCAATGTTCGCCCTTCTCAAATTACTTGAGTTGTTTCTAGTGGAAGGGTCATAGGATACAGTATATACTGTTATTTTAAAAGATTCCCGGCGAAATAAACTATGATGTAAACACATTTAATGAATGGAAAAGCTCATTTTGTTTAACAAGAGCCAAATTGGGTATTTAAATCTGGGCTATGATATGGTATCAGTGATCATTTAAAAAATCAAAAACTCGTAATTTTTTAATTTTTAAAAAAATATTTCAGTCTTTTATTATTTGAAATTTTTACTGGAGCAGATTAGAACTTAAGTTTTCTTTTGACTTTGGCATTCTCGTTGTGCTAATTGGAAAGATTTATCAGGTGTTTCAGACAATTAAAAGTATCGACTATGATGCTGGCCACTTTAAACCAGATTAAACCTGTTACATTGCTTCTTACTATATGACTACCTCTTAATTTTTATTAAAAACTATATCAACGTAATGGATTTTTGCCATAGCCCGTCTGGCTGCAACAATCATGAGGATTTTCAAGTCAACAGTTTTCCATTTGTTTCTTTCCCTGCAGCTCATCAACTAGTCAAGTCCTTGTTTTTGAGGCAATCATTATGTCAAGATTGGTGAGATCAACACTGAGCTGTTCCAAACACTCAGTTTGTTTAATTTTTTCTCAACTTGGTATTGGTGTATTAGTTGACAGGGAGTCCTTTACAGCATGGCTGGTGTTGGATTCCTCATGTATATAATGGATTCCTGGATGTGGTGTTGGTTATCAAGGAAAAAAAGTAGATTAAAATTTAGTTGAAACAGATATATCTGTAGTTTTATAAGTAATCTGAATAGTTGAATTATGGAAGTGGTTTTTGGTAACTCCTCTTTTATTTCTTTGACATATCCAAATAATAATTTTATTCCAGATCTGCAATTTCAACTATTACTGATTTTGATTATTTTCAATAATATTCACCCTGGAGTATTGCATTCAAGTCTCCAGGATTGTTTAGTTTTTACATATTTGCATATTGTTTTACATTATTATCTTTGTTGTGGATCTCTTTTACCTTTTTTTGTCCTTATTTCTAATTCTATCTATCATTGTAAGTGGAAGAGAAGAATCTTATCTATCCTTTTGTAAAAATACAAATACTTGCCTATTGTAATTTTAAAGAGGAGACTTGAATGCTTGATACATCAGGTGTGACAAATTCTTGGTATAATCTATTCCTATGCACGCTCCTCTGACCATTTCCCTAATCTTCAAAACCTATTCATAATTTTTATTTTCACTCTTAGCATGATCCTGTCTTGGAAAGGTGGAAGCCAGATCAAACAAATCTTGAAGTTATTTAAGTTGCAGCATTCTTCTTCTCTTATTCTGTTCATCTCATCTTACAGACTTTGCATTATCTAGTGATCAATTGCAAACATCTGCATGGAACACTTATCCTTGAAGACTTTTAACATTCCCAATGATAAATTGCCACTTAATTTACAACCCCTCTTTATTACAAAACTTTTAATCCTCAAAAATATTTCTCAAGATAATTTAACTGTTACAAGAAATTAAAGTTAACATCTAACATCTCTTTCTTGGATATTGTGAAGAAACCTCCCAGTTTCTTTCTGATCTGTGAACCTGTTTTCTAAAACATAACTGACAGTGTCATGTGGCGTTGCAGGGAGGAAAATTTCATTGGAGGCGATGCAGTCGTAGTCGATGGCGGTGCATGGATGCATCACTTACGGCTGGTTGGAGCATGGTGGCAGATGCAACTCTTCATAACAACAAGTCGTCTCCCTTGTGGTGCTGGTTCCTTCTCTCGTCTTACATTCTAACTGATCACAAAGGACTCTGGTGATCTTTTACTGGTATTTTGGAATAGGGGTGAATGTAGACTTCAAATCTGTCTATCTTGATGAGTCTAGTCTTCTGGTGCCACTAGAGTAGTTTGAACAAATTCTATTGTAAGTCAAATCTTTTAACCACTCTGATACTAATGTGACAATCTAACAAATATTTAGTTCTGGTAAAGGGTTAAGATATTGTTTAGTCACTATGACACGAGTCAGTGCCCGCTCTAGGTCCAAAGCCACCCAACTGCCTAGTGAAGAAAGTAAAGAGAATGCCAAAGAAGTTAGAGAACGAAATAGGAATGCCAAAGAATCTATCCCCAAAAATACCAAAGGAACTACAGAAGTTGAAAAAGTTCAACCAAGTAAAGTTCAAACACAAGCTAAAGGGAGAGGTAGAAATGTGCGGAATATTGTGAAGGAAGAAAATCTTGAATTGGCTGCAGAACTTGAAGCTTTACTTAAGAAGGTTAATGTTGAAAGAACTGCTGTCAGTCTCAATCTGAAAGGTGAGGAAGATGAGGAAGAGGAAGAAGAAGAGGAGGAGGAGGATGAAGAAGAGGAAGAAGAGGAGGAGGAGGATGAAATGGATGATGCAGCAGATAAGGAGGAGGATGATGTAGATGAGGATGGAGATGAAGATGATGAGGATGAGGATGAAGATGAAGATTGTAAGCTAGATTCTGATGACAAAGAAAAGAAGGAAACTGATGTTGGGTACCAGTGTGCTTTTTGTGAATATACTTTCACCAGGAAAAGTATGTTGAAACGTCATGTGCGAATTCACACTGGTGAGCGACCTTATGCCTGTGACAAATGTGATGCCAAGTTTACTCAGCAGGGTGGATTAAAGACACACATGTTGTGTAAACATAGAGATGAGATAGACCAAAAGGACAAAGTGACATATCAATGTCACCATTGCGATCGATCTTTTGTAATCAAAGAACGCCTTCGTATTCACCTCAGAGTACATACTGGTGAACTACCTTATGTTTGTCACATTTGTTCCAAGAAGTTTCGCAGAAATGGTGGTCTCCTTCAACACTTACGAAGACATGTTGGTATGCGCCCTTACACTTGTGAAATCTGTAAAGCTTCTTATTATAACTCTACTAATCTGAAAACCCATATGAAACGCCACCTGGGTGTTCAAGATTATGTGTGTGATCTTTGTGGTAAAGGTTTTACTCGAAGAGATGGTTTGCGAAAGCACTTAGCATGTCTCCACTATGATCAATGTGCATTCCGGTGTTCAATATGTAATAAATCATTCAAAGGTCATATTTTGTCCCACTTACGTATGCATTTAAAAGAAAAACCATTCAAATGTGAAATTTGTGGTATGCGCTTTGTACAGAGTTCTCAGCTGGTGGTTCACACTAGGACCCACACTGGAGCAAAGCCATATCCCTGTCAAATATGTAAAGTTGCCTTTTCTCACTCTTCAGCTCTACGCATGCATATTAGAAGACATACTGGTGAGAAGCCTGTTAAGTGTATGCTTTGTCCTGCAGCTTTTGTGCAGCTTCCTCATCTAAAGAAACACATGAGATGCATTCATAAATCTGATAAACCATATGTGTGTGTACCTTGCAATGCTTTCTTCAAAAAGAAAGTTGAGCTTGAGGAGCACATGAAGGCAACAGGTTGTAAACCAGTTCCTGCTCCTGAGGCAGCTCCAGCCAGCAAGAGTCCCGAGTCCAAACCTGCCAAAAAAGCTCGTAAGAGGTCCTCCAAAGGGGGAGATGACTCACCAGCAAAACAGAAAAGAGTTGAAGATGAGGTAATTGATGAGGATGATTCGTCCAATCCACCAAGACCATTAAATGGAAATGGAGAAGTCTCAGAGGAAGAAATGCAAGAAATCCCTAATCTGAAAGGAGCTAAGGTAGTGCAAGCATTTTTCCACCAGCAACTTTCTGGAGAAAAGAAACCTGACACCCAAACTAATAGTTCTAAAGGCAAATGTAAGTCTTCAACCTCCCCAAAGCAATGTGAACCATCATCTTCAAGGAAGACTGAAGATTCGAGAAAGACAAGCCTTAGAGAAACTCGTTCTCGAGGAAGGCGTAGTTTGTCATCTGAATTTAAAAATGGAAAATCTAAAACTTCAGAAACAGATCCTGATCCGTCTTCCACTGCTAACTCGCCTTCATCATCCAGAAGATCTAGTTGTGAAAGTAAACCTATAGCCTTCCTACCTATTACAAGTCCTCCAAAGTTTTCAAGTTCCAGTGAAGAAACCATTGTGAACACCAAAGCAACTCAAGATGACAGATGCGAAAGTCCTATATGTGAGCCTTTACGACCAGTTGATCAGCCAACTACAGTGATGGTAGAAGAGATGATGCGAAAAGTCACAGAACGTCTTAAGCTGGGCACAAAGACACCCATCGTCTTAAGAAATCAGCCTATGCCAATTGAAAAAATCCGAATGCTATTAGCTATTCTTCTCACTCGTATTTCTACAACTGAGCGACTAGAAGCTCTTGGGTTTGGCAAGATCCTAATTGACAAAGTGTTATGTGCATCCATTGTGAGCTCTGGTCGAGTACCATGTGATCAAACTGGCTTGTCTGAAAGAGAAGTTATTCTAAAGAATGTTCATATACTTCTGGAGTGGACAGTTCCAAAACTATATATGGAACGCTTTAAGCGAGAGAATCGATCAACTGAAGATTTATTAGAAGAGTTGACTTCATAATTTTCCCATTTACCCTTTTTGGTATGTTGCATGTTTAAATTTGAATCCGAGTCATTTGCTGTGTTATTATGTGTTCAATGATTGATGGCAAACCAAAGATGTTAATTACTGTATATTCAACTTAGCACTACTGCATGCTGCTTGTCATATATGTGAATCCTTGTACTGTAGCATTCATATGAAAGTTTAACCATCATGTCCCAACATAAAGCAGCTTTGCTTCTCTTGAAGTATCATTTTAATAACTGTTTAATTTAAACTGTATCTTCTATTTCAACAATTTCATCTCCTGTAAGGTCAGTGATGATTTATTCCAAGTTCTTGCCCACTATTGTGTGTTTGGACTAGACAGTTCTAAGAATAAAATTTGGTGCAGTTTGTTTGTGGTATGTGCAATTTTAAAAAAATTACTTGCCAGTGAATGTGATATTGGAAAGTAAGTATCCCATAAGCCAATGTTTTGGTAATTGAAAAGACATGTTGTAACGGGAGTTGTAGTAGGAAATTTATCTAGTGCAAAGTTCAGTTTGACAACATTTCATTCTATATTATGAATAGCATAGAGTGTGTAGTGCATAAAAATATTTAAATATTACTTGTATTTTAAATTACCTGTTTCCCAATAGGCTAATGTTTTGTAAAGTTATCCATTTCAAATGGGTCCTATTACATCCGATGGAACACATGTGGTTCTGTAATTATTGTATTGATGCAATTCAAGTCTGGGTGTTTTGTAGAAAAAGCCTTTGCTTTGAAATTTGAATGTTTCTGGAATGCTATTCAGTATGGTATTGCCACTTCATAAAGGCAACTCTGCTCTTGTAGTTTTCAAATAATTTAATGGCTATGTTGAATGTCATTTATCGTTCCATTGGGGAAAGTAGCCTCAAATCAAACTACTATGTATATGATCTATCATTTGATAAAATATCATTCATGGCTGTTGTATCCTAAACAAAAGTGGTAGTTGAAACATTTTTTTCAAAGGCCTTTTACTATGAAAGGCACATCCTTGGTTTTACGCACAAGAGTTGTCTTTGTTGAGTTAACATTTCACATATCTATCTTTTTTTAAATGTATATGTGTAGATTCTGTTTAGAATTTACCTACATATTACCTAAACCTGTTATCAAACTATAAGTTACTCTACAATTTTTGGTTTTCTTTATAAATTACATTATTATTAAATTATAAATTTTCATTTTATTTGTTGTTAAATGTTAGTGTTTTTTTTATTTGTTTGAAGACCTCTAGTCACAAGACTAGGATTCAATCTGACCTGTCAAGATTCTCTGTTATTATTGTTCTGTCTTTGTTTCTGATTTTGTATTTTCTGTTATTCATTCATCTTTAAGATTTACACACCTTTTTCTCACTGTGTGAGATCTTTTGCATTTTTCACTATGCCGCAGCATCTTTTTTTTTTATCTCTCTCTCTCTTTCTCTTTAGGGTGTTTCCTGGTGGAGGTACTTCTTGCTTGCATGTTCCCTAGCTGCTTTTCAGCATATAGCCAAAGAACTAGCGTAATCAGTTATCAGTACAAATCTCTAAAGACACAATTATACTAAATTTTTCATTACCTTCCTTTGCACTTCTTTCCTGTTTTTTTTTTCTTTCTGTTGTTGTTCTTTTTTTTAAATGTAGTTTTAATGGTGGTGGTTTCTTCCTTGAATGTGAAGTTATGCATTGCCATAAAAATGTGCCATCATTGTTAAATTTTTGTGCTCTATCTTGCCACTTACTGCACTTCCAGAAAGTAGGTCTAGTCACTAATGCAGAGTCTATCTGCAAAGCACTGTCTGGAGTGATACCTTGCCTAAATCTCTCTCCCACCGTGTGATGTGCTATGGAAACAGGCTATTCTTCTCCTGTGCTTTTTTGTTTTCCTGTACTATGGTCTATTTGATAAAAATATCAATGTATATAAAATCAGAAGATAATTAACAATTTTGTTGACTGTTATTAGATTTGTAGATTATAGTGCCAAAAGCTTACATTGCAGCTTGTTGCTTTTCCACCCATGCATGTGTACCTGTCATCACATTTTCTGTTGTAGTAAATTGCACCTTGTAACTGAAGGATGTGTGGCATTCAGTAGCAAAGACTAATGTGTTGCATTCCTGTTGTGGAAAATAAATTAATATTTTGGTAGTGATTATTTTGATCTCACCAAATTTTAGTCAGTCTGTTCCTAGTGGTATGTTCTACTCTGCCACTTTTTTGTGTTTGGTAACTGCTGAAAACCGTTTGGAGTAATGTATTTATGGCTAGTCCAAAATAGTAACCTGCTTAGTTTTGGAATCAATTGTGTTTGTAGACGGCTGATGTCTGATGTTTTATTCATTCACCACTTTGAGAGGTAGAAAACTGCTTTTTCTATTTGTGCATGAAGTTGATTTCTGTTGTTCCCTTCCCTACTCAAGAATACCACACCAGTGAAATGTCCCTCTGATGCTATGATGAAGCTATCAGTTATTTAGTAGAAGTGCTAAGATTTATTGCCTTTGGTGTTTAACCTATTTAAGAAATTTATTAGTGGTTGCTTGGTGTCATTAAAATTATGGACTGTGTGCCAAATATCATAATAGAGCAACTTCCTTTCAAGGAGAAAGTACTGGTCCAATTTATGTAGAACTACATGTACAACTTTTGAAAAGGAGATGTTGGTGTATAGAAGCCAAATCACTTTATTCTTACCAAGATGTTGGCTTCTATTATTTTTAGGGTGTGTGAGGGAACTGCTCTGCCTCAGTCATTACAATTAAATCATTCAACTGATGGTACTCCTTATACCTTTTCTGTCGATTTCCTTGTAATGCTTTTTTGTGGAAGAATGTGTTTGTGTTAGTTCACCCGTCACTTTTAATATAATTCATGTGTGGTTCATATACAGAAATAATATAATATATACATGAATGCTTTGTTATATTATGGAGGTGAAATTCTATGTACTAGTGTGCCGTAATAAAATGAATACTAAGTCATACTTAATAGTGTTCTTTCAACTATGGCTAAAAAAACAAAACACAATTTCTCATTCTTACTAGAAACACTCGAGTATAATCATCCACCTTTCTCTAATACTGTAAGTTTTGCTTTTACATCATCAATATCAGTTTGCAGTTTTTCGTCATTTGGCTTAATAAGCGAAGCAGCTTCAAGGTCTGCTAGTCCTGCTTTGAGCATACCTAATTTACACAGTGCTGCCCCTCTTCGAACATGACATTTTGCTCTTGAATCCTCATTTAGCCTGACTTTTGGTGTCATGAGGTCCAAAGCCTGTGTAGATGTATTAGAGACATGTACAAGAAATTGATAATTTAGTTTTACTATTTAAGCCTGTTGCTTTGTACAAAGATCTTACCATTGAACAGTCTTCAATAACTCTCTGCAAATTTCCAAGTGCGTAATGGGCTGCAGAACGATTTACATACAGGGCAGACATCTCTTTACTCAATTTTATACCATGACTATATGCACTTATTGCCCCAAGATAATTCCCAATTTTAAAAAAGGAACTGCAACAACAACAACAAAAAATAATAACTTTGGCAATTGAAAAAAAATCTACAATAATACATTGAATAATACTCACTCTCCCTTTTCTTTAAGCCACTGAGGATTACATTCTTCTGGTCTCAGATCCTTGGCCACAAAACCAACTGAGCGCTGTGCAGCAGCCTGCTTTTGAAGCCACTGAAAAAATGAAAATCAATACAATCTAGTTATACATTGCATTGAAGGGAAAAAAACAAACAAACAAAGTGAAACCAGTCTCTCTACCAGTTGTTCTTCCTCTAAAAGAGATTCTCTTTGAGGTGTTGGAAAAGCTCTAGGGGTGAATTTGACAGATATTGTCCCACATGATCGGGGAATTGGAACTGGTCGTAAATCATCTTCTGTTAAATGTATATTACTTTCTGACTGTAACTCATGCTGGTTTCCATCTTCAGAACTAATTTGATTACTTTTTTCCCAAATATTTATTGAATGGCTGTCTGTACATTAAAACACAAAGTACATTATGGCTCATTAAATATTTTAAAATATTGTGTAAAAACTTTTCAGTCAAACTACCTGTGCTACAATTTGAAGGTGCAACCTTTGGATTAACTTGATGGGTTTTCCATTCTTCTAGTTCTAACATGGCTTTTTTTCTCTCAGTGTTGCGTATTTCCTCAGTTTCTTTTTTTTCGGACGTTTCCAGTTCTATTTGCTGTTGCACTGATTTTCTATGAAGTGCTTGAAGCATTTCTAGGGGAGTGAAAGAAAAAAAAGAAAAAATGTGGTAAAACAAATTTATAATTAGATGTACTTCATTGAAACTTTTGTATTGTACCCTGTTTTGCAGCCCTCTCATTTTGGCTTCGATTTTGTAGTTTAATCAGTGCGTCAGCTCTTGCTTTTGCCCTCTCTTCCTTACTCAAATCACCATTTAGAGTCGTCCAATGGACACCCGAGTCAGATTTTTCAAGATTGAATTCTAAGAGTCCATCTGTTATTGTACACTTACTTGCTGAATCATTGATTGAGTGACTTAGGAATACCTCAAATATAAATGGTTTAAAGTTTGCCTGTTCAATAAAATTGCACAACAAAGTTTTACACATGTTTGCACACTGGCATAACATAATTTCAAACAGAACAACCCTTACCTTAATGTAAGTGTCGTAAGTTAGGATGTCAACAGAGCTGGAAGGGACTCCCCTCAAGGGAACCGTCACTACCACATGTGTCGCTGTTTGTCTCCATGTGAAATCTTTCACAACGACAGCCATTGCAGTGCTTTTGCGGAAAAGTGCCGGTGCTTTCGCCAAACCGCCAAACGGCCAAACTTCAACAAAACGACACCGATCCGAACATTACACTGCTCGGGTTTTGGTTGCCATGACAGTGCGCCCGCTCAAATCAACATTAAACGTTGCGGCTGACTCCGCGCCCGGGCGCGCCCTTCCGCCGTTGAGACACGAAACATGTGTTAGTCAGACACGCCCCCCCCCCCTCAAAAAAAAATCCCAAGTCAACCTCCAGACAATTCATCAGAGTCTAACTTTTCTTTTTTGACTCTCCGAGTTAGCCGATAGCCGCCCGTGGGGTAGGCAACCTATCGTACACCACGTGAGGATGGGATGGTAGAAAACACTCGATAGGGAAGACATAGACCCCCCCCCCCCCTCAATAAAGGTTTATAAAAAAAAATCGAATTTTGATTGAGTCTAGTGGGATTACAGCCACCGGGGAGATAAAGAAAACAGAGAAGGTGTGGCACGAGAGAACTAGCAGATTGATGCAGGGTAATAAATATAGTCCAGGATTCATTCCAGTTTCTCCGATAGGAGATTTACTGAGACGTGCTGGAGTGAGTGTTGTCTCCATGGCTCGTTCGCTTCAGCACAATGCATAATTTTAACTAACTTTTTACAGGAAAAATAAAAACAACTACTGTTTCGAGTCGACTTCCTACCCCTACTTATGCAAGTTTTGGCTCCACATTTTTTTAGGCATTCCATTTTGGCCGTTTAATTGGCCGGCCGTCTCCTTGTACTATCCTTGAAATATATGTCATTGTAGTGCGGAGAGGGCCCGCCGCCCGCCGAGCGAGAGGGCATAGGCATGGGCCATGACCATGGCCGTGGCATACGCAAAGACCTTGCTGCACCGTCCGCTGTTATTTCGGAACTCTGCTGAGCCATGGGATCTTAGGGTGGGCCGAGAGGTGGGGGGTGGGGGGCTAGGCTAGGGGTGCGCCATTCCCGCAACGGGTAGCCAAGCAGCAGACGGCGTGGAAGGCGAAGCGGCGTGCTGAGTGGTCGTTGTGCCCGCCTGCCTCCCTCACCCCGCCGCCCGGCCTGTGCGGTGTCGCGTTCAACACCACCTCCGTGGCCAGCTGCCGGCGAGACCGCGCGGCCCGCGACGCGACCCAGCTGCCCCGCTCGACGGCGAAGCCCCCTCCGGTGGCACGGCGGCACCGGCTCGGCTCGGCTCCAGACGCCATTCAGACGCCCGGTCCCCACGGCGACGGGCGGCGGAGAACGTTTGTCGACTCGGACTCTCTCCGGCGACATGGCACATCTCGGTCCCAACAACGGCACCCGCACCAGCGACACCACCACCCAGTACAGGTAGGAGGCATTGTTGGAGCTAGAAGAGGAAAGTCATTGTCGTGCTCGAGGAATAAGAGGCTGCGCAGATGAGCAAGATATCCGCGGCGTCGGGGAGCATGAGGGCGGGAGCGATGTGCGGCCGGGGCGGCGGCGGCGGCCCGTGTGCTCCTGGGCTCGGACCGGGGCGATAAGGGACCCCCGCGGCGTTCCACGACCTGCACAATCGGCGGCGCGAACAGTCGGCGTGGTCCACTCCGCGAGCTGCTCTTCAAGTATACCGGCGCGCGGCCGGTGGAGAGACGCTTCTCTGCTGCTGCTGGACACCGCGACCTCGCCCAGCAGTGCAGTGCCTTGTTTATTTGCCGTCCTCCCCAAGTGGTGCGCGATTAGCCATGGGGATTATGTGGACAGATGCCTGTGATTAGACCGTCACGCGTAACGCGGCAGGCGGGGGCTTAACAGTCCGCGAAAAAAAAGTGCGCAGATTAGGTGATGTGGAGAGAATGACCCATCTGTTTGAGAGTGCAGGTGCCCCTCGGGGCCAGGGTGGTGGGCCACCGAGTGAGGCTCGGCTGCGTGGCGGGCGTGGCGGGCGTGGCCGCCTCCCAGGCGACCAGGTCGCCGCCGTGCGCGGGCAACGTGAGGTGGAAGCGGCCGTGAGAGAGTTGCACACGATCGCGAAAACAAATCCAGATGCATGGCATCGTATCGTACTGCTGATAAGAAATCCTATGCAGAATGCCTGAAAGTGTGTTCAAACCGTGTTGCGACGCGCAGGCGCAGACCCCTGCCGGGGCCAGGGTAGGCCACCGAGTGCGACACGGCTGCTCGGCGGGCAGGCCTACGCCCCAGGCGACTAGGTCGGCGCCGCGCGCAAGCAGCGCCACGTCCGCGCAAGTAGCGGGCTTTCTTCTTGGCCACACCACACCACCCGCATCCGCGCTGGGTCCTGGGGCAGAATTGGAATCGGGTTAAGCACTTCGACTGTAAAGAAACAGACAGGAAACTTGCAAAGCACGCGGGCAGTGAGTTGTTTACTGTTTACGGCGGCGCGTCTGCTCTGCTTGCATCGTCTAAACACTAGACGGACTAGGCAGACGCACCCGCGGACACGTCATAGATCGGCGATCACGGCCCTGCCACTATACGAGTTAGCAGCCTGCCACCGCGTTGCCGATGGTTGTTGTTCTCTTCGAGTTTATTTTTACACCCCTTTTAGATAGTTTCTCGTCCGGCATAATCCGCGAATAAACTCGGGCGGGCAACGTGGTCTGTTTGCCACCTCGGTGGGCTCGGCAGAATGCCCAGAATGCCTCCTCGGCGCCGTGGCGAGGTGGCGCCGTGGTCCGCACACCCGGCTCCCCGCGGCCCTCGAGCCCGCCAGGACCACGGCCAGGGCCAGGGGCGCCTAGGGAAACAACAACCGAACCACCACCACCACCAACCACCCCACGGGCCCACGCCACGCCACGCCACGCCATGTGGTAGTGCGCCCTTGACCACGGCCACGCCCTTTTTGGCCGGTTCCAATCCTCGAGAGTTTCATGCACTTTCTCGCCCATTCTCTGTTTTTCCGCCGTTTCTCTTTCTTTGGCACTTCTCGCGAGGAAGACGCGGCGGGGGCAATCAGCTTTATTTGTTTTTGCAATCGGTCTTACTCGTCTTTTTTTCCTCTCCTAGAGATTTCGCAGGCCCGCCCCGTATCCTATCAGTTCGACCATCATCACGGTGGAGTGGTCGGTCGCCGCGCGATGACATAAGGCCCCTCCCGCATTATCGGATGCGATGCACCGGCCGGACCCGGGCCGATCCGATACGGGCCCCCTCTCGCGCCCACGCCCCCGCTCACACCACTCCTCGACAAATTAAAACAAGTAGTGTGAAACGGCCAGAGAGTTGATTGATTTATTGGTCGCCTTCGTGTTCGTTGTCGCGGAGCAGCGGCACGGCCGCGGCCTGCGTAGCGTCAGAACGAGTAGGGGGGGGG